AAAAAAAAATATTGCTTAAAAGTGAACTAAGTGGGCTCCTGGGTAACCCTCCTGAGCAGACAGGTAGGAGACAGTAGTGTACATTTCCCAGCAACATCCCTTGTAGCATTATGCTGGTCACCCAAACACTGGCCATGTGAGAGTTTTTAAGCCATGGACATTGATAAAGAGTACCAATGACAGTTTTGCTAATCGCCCCCCCCCCAAAGCCACTGTAACAGAGGTTGCTTGATCAAACTTTTACATTGATTCTACCATAGGAATTCAGTCTATAAACACTATATTAAATCATATGCTCTCTCCATAGTTTCAGGGTGGGTAATACCAACCACAGCCAACAGGTTTGGTCCAATAAGTTTCGACAGCCAGACTCAGCATCAGGCTACACAGGCCCCGCTCATCCTCTTCATTTTCCCCTGAAATGACTGAGGTGATTTACAGGTAGCTTCATCTCTTTTATTGAAATCCCACTGTGATAGGACACTAAAGCTTAGTACTGCAGGTATCAGGCCATGATCCTAATGAACAGTTCTTTTCTTGGATGGACGTTTGCTTGTCCACATGTAGTTAATAAGGTGCTACCTTTGCTGACTGGCCCTTTCGTGCCCCATGTAGGACTGCACACGCAAGAGCGAAAGCTGACGCTGCTGACCAGGCTGCGCTGGCCGCCCGCCAGGAGTGCGACATCGCGAGAGCTGTAGCCAGGGAGCTGTCACCTGATTTCTACCAACCAGGTAAAACCCTTCTCCTTTGATGGGAAATATTGGAGCACTGCCTTTGGTTTTCTTTTATTTCCTTTCTCGCATAAAGGTCCCTGTTGATGACTCAGTAATACTACAAGATCAGTGGGAGTGTATGTTAAGTAACAAAATATCCCCTCAAGTTTGTCAGCAATGGAGATTTGGGGGGTACTCCCTGTCTGCCTCTGCACTCCCAGCCACATATCCCCCCAGCTTTGAGCCAAGAGCTCTAAACAAGTCAGGAATCTAAAAGTATCTGACTTATAAAAAATTGTGTTAATTGCACATTCCATCACAAACATCCCCAGATTCAGAGGCCAGACAATAATGGCATCAGCAATAGGAGAAGAACTAGTAAGTACTGTGGGGTTTCTTCGTTTGTTTTTTTATGTACCTAAACTGAAGCTCAGAGGCGTGTTGTTAGTTGGTAACTACTTGAAGACAGATTAACCGTAATAGATGAAGAGGGAAATGCATGTCGTAATGGAAGAAATGGAAAGTGACAACCTCAAAAAAATAAATAAATAAATAACTACCTTGATAACCTGTCTCTCAAATATCAAAAAATAGCCACCAACAAATACTTGCAGGAAGTTTAAATTTAACTCACTTCCTAGTAGGTCGCCAGTAAGCTATTTTCATCCCTTTCTGTGATATACTAACAGGATTTTTGTTTTCAAAATAGCTATACCTTTGAATGTATATGTCTCCGTTGTTCTATATGCAACATCTTTCTAGTGATTATTTACAGAGAGAAACAGATTTTTTAGGTAAAGAGATCAAAATGTTCTAAATTTCTATTAAAATTTGTATTTCGTGGTAAAGAATTTCCACCCATTGATTTTTATTAAATCAGTCAAGCTGCATATCATCCCATCCCTCCCAGCACCCTGAGTGGTGTGGGTGTTTGGTTTGCTTCTGGTTCTGCTGAGGGTGAGAAAACTTAAGAGCCAGGGGCATCTCTGAGTCCCAGTGTACAGGGTAAGTGAACGTGCACAGAATGGCAAGAGCCATAGAAAATCTAGAAACTTGGCTTTAATAAAGGATGGAGTAATGCAAAAAAAATTGACCTGCTGATTTAGGGGTATGCTTCTTTTTTGTTTTTGTTTTTAACATTTAGTTTTTAGTTGGACACAATATCTTTATTTATTTTTATGTGGTTCTGAGGATCAAACCCAGGACCTCGAATGTACTAAGCAAGCACTCTGCCGCTGAGCCACAACCCCAACCCCTTTCTCGTTTTTTGTCGTTTTATTTCATGATTGTATCTTGCAAAGAAAGACAGTAAAGGGCTAGGTTAAAAAAGACTCAGTTTTTAGTTTTTATATAAGCAAGTCTAGAGAGGGGCCCAGTTCGATACTGAGATGTTAGATATTGTTCTCATGGAGTGAACTCTCCAAGAGTCCAAGACCAACATAGAGGCAATCACTGATATGGGTGATTTCTCTCATGTACATCTCTTGGAAGCCGGTGGGTAGATTTGAATCCTGTATACATATTTAAATTTTGTTGCAAAAGGATTCCTTTGATTTCCATTTCCGGTACTGATAGATAGTACTGGAATCACCTGTTTTGTTCACACTTCCCCAGTGTGTAAGTACTTTGGTGAATTAGCTGTTCCAGGAGGTAAGAGCTCCAGGAGGTTTTCAGCAAACCTAGTAGGTGTTCCTGGGCTCTCCAGGGAGCTGCCATGGTAGAAAGAAGCTGGACAGTGAGGAGACGCTGGGCTTGGGCTGCTTTGAAAGCAAACAAACTTATTATTGTTGTCTGCAGACGCCGAGAGCTGCTCGGCAGTGGGGTCCCTCGAGGTGTGAGCAAGAGGGAAATGATATGGAAGGTCATCTCAGTTTTCCAGACTGAATGGTTTTAAAGGGCTTTTATGGTGTAAAAGCATTTGAGGGGAAAGAAATATTGTGGGAAAATGTAATTCTACCCCTTCTTAGCTAAAACAGTCGCCTATAAGCAAGGGGTCCGTCAGTAATGAATCCATCCCAGGAGCATGAGATGAACAGTGGGTCTGTTGGCAACCAGAGCTCCAGAACAGGCTGCACCCACGGTCAGCACTTCCTATAGCCACTGGAGAGAAGGCCCTTTCTGTAGGGAGCATCACAGGTCTTCTCAAGGGCCTTAACTCCTGCTTTCCACTCTGCATTTACAGGTGACCGTATCACATAGACATTTGCTAACACGGCTCTCAAGGAATTCTTTTAAGTCAGGCTGCTCATTGAGTCTACATATCTCAGTCATAAATATCTCCATTGTTTGCCATGCCTGTGCCATGCCTAGACGCTGCAAGCCCTGAGAAAAAGGATGTCGTAGCTTACATTTTGGACATTTTCATGGTAAATCGATTTTTTAGGAGCTGGTGGTATTTTCAGGTATTTACCATCTTAGTTAAATCTTATGGCCGTAGTTCAAAAAAAGAAATGATTCTATAGTTGAGTTAAAAATACAGGAAAAAACAGCCATATGAGCTGTTCTCAAAGGGTAAAGTTCCATTAATGAAAGAGCATACAAATGGATGTATGTGAGTGTGTGTATAGATGATTACACAGAGACAGTTGAATTGTTAGCAGTGTGAATGACATAGTGAGTCACTCCCAAGAACTCAGAAGAAGTTTGCCCTCTGAAGGTTAAACTTGAAAATGAGCCATGACACTGCACAGAGAGAGGTCAGATGATCTGCAGTGATAGTGTGGCTGTAAGAACTGCAGGATTTCCTCGTAACATGACTGGGTGTAGGACAACACCTCCAGAAAGAATCAGCAACCCGAGGAAGTATAGAAGAAAAGTGAGTCACAGAGGCAGAGATTGGCAGTGTTCATCCAGACCCTGCCCAGAGAAGCCTGAGTCAAACCTGGGATCATTGTAGTTGCACTGGCAAGGATGTTGGGGGGGGGGCAGGAGGCAGGAAAGTATAGCCAGCGGTGTGTATGGCTGTCTTGGCAAGATCATCCTGACCCAGGAAATGGCTGCATCAGGCCATCTCAGCTTCATGCCATTAGGTAGTTGATTCATCTCATGCTCCTTGTCCCCATGCCACATTCACCAGTAACTAATTCTGTGATCAGGCTTTCCATGGAGGTCTGTCAAGAGGGAGAGCTTGCTGTCAACCAATGAATTGGCTTTTCGGTATCATACATCAGTCTTGTGAGTGTGGTCATGTGAGTCCACCCCAAGCCATGGTTGTGCTGGTAAAATCGTGTTCCTAAGCCAGGAGGGCTGAGATGAAGGTTCGGAAGGTGATCACCAAGAAGAGGAAGGGGTTGGAGAACAAGGACAACTGGGAAACTATACACAGGACTCTTTGTCCTGTCGTTTCAGTTTGTTCCCTATCAAGATTCTTGTTTTGTTCTTAATTGCAAGTTATATTAAATAGGATGTAAAGATCGTTTTATTTATCAGTGGAGCTGGCTATGGGCTAAAGAAATTGAAACACTGTCCCAGAATGTGGTAAATTTATGAGTCTGAACCCCTTTGGGAGACAGGCAGCCCACTTCCTTAGGCAACATGCTTATTGCCCTGTTTAAGCAGGTTGTGCTCACACACAGAGTACACTCATTATCGAAGGTGAAAGTGAATTCTCGGGTGTAGATTATTATGGACTAGTGTTAACTAAGCTTGCATTTCCGACAGGAGTTAGAAGTCTGTAAAAACATAATTGCCTATGCCTCTCCTTAATCTGTCCTACTTTGGGTTAAGAAAAATGAAGCATCCAGAAACAGATGGCTGCTAAGCTCTCCTTCCAAACCTAAAATACATTTTTTTTTAAATGAAGAAGGGAAAGCAAATAATCCACTAGCACACATGAAATTAGTAATTCTTAAGTTTTCTGGTTATTCTCATTCCATATATTCATTCCCATATATTCAGTTTCACCAAATATGTATTGAGTGCTGGCCCAGTGCTGGGCACCGGAATAGATGTCCCACAGCTCTCAGGCAAGTGCTACGGCTGTGGTCACAGACGGTGTGGCATGGTTACAGATGGGACTGTAAGGTCCTAGAGGAAAGGAGGGGACGCGAAAGTGGTCCTGCTACTGATTAAATCATGCTTTTAGAGTTGTTCAATCTGGTCCTCTTTGATTGATTGGCAGTCTCCTGAGAAAATGCCTAATTTCTGCTTAATGACTTCTACTGTCACCACGAAGCATTTGCTATGGGCACTGCCCTTCTAGAAATTTGTTTGGGGGACTGTTCGTGGTGCTCCTTCTGCCCATAGCCAGCCCATGGTGGCTCACCTCTGAAGTTCAAACTGGATTCCCTGCTGCCACCATCTGCCATTGTCTGTACACAACCTTTGTGCCAACCATGACGACTTAGCTTCCAGTGTCAGTGGGTGGTGTGCTGACTTACTTCATATCGTGTGGCATGTCACTGAGCAGGTGACCTGCATCTACTACTTCCCAGTTTGAATCCCCAGTGGGGACAAAGCCCTTAGAATTCATAAATGGTGTCTATAAAAACACGACTGACTTAAAAATGCTGACTGCATCAGCACTTGTCATAATTTCCCTCCCTGGCAGCGTTCTGGCTAGTCCCCTTAATGAACTGCTGCATCTCATCAGCTTTATGTTGCTGGCACCGCACTGCTAACACACACAACCACAAAGGACAAGTAGCGGGCACAGGATGTGCCTTCCAAGAGAAAGCCTTCCAGGAAAAACTTCTGTCCTCTGCATTATATTAAATGTCTTGTTTAAAAATCATTCCATCTTACTACGGAAAAGCTAGCTGTATATCCTTATTGTTTGGCCAGCTGTCACATGACTATGCTACTTTGGAACTGTTTCCAACTGGATGTAGTCATATGAGGCTGATATGAGGACCACATCCAGTCAACATGTGCATTTTTTTGCATGCTTTCAAACACCTGTGACTTGGTGTATACCAGGATCATCTGGAGCATTAGATGAACGTTATGATTTCTAGGGCTTTGATTTGTACTTACTAAATAAAAATCTCTGGAGATAGCACCTCAGATTTGGCTGAGGA